ATAGGCAGGGGCACAACTCAAAAATGCTGGGAACGCACAAATCCTGATCTTGAAGCAAATGGATGGGATTGTGGGTCAGGCTTCTGAGTAACTGCACCATGGGAGGACTCTTTAAGAACCCTTCTTCATCCTTGCTTTCTTTATGTGCTCCTTGCTCCTCGCAGGGGCATAGTGCTAGATATTGGAATCGAACACAAGAATAGGCAGTACAACATCTGCGACTAGACCTGCAACTGTCTTGCTCTATGACCTTGGGTGAAATACATTCATAATTATAACCAAAAAAACTCATTGGTTAAAGTACTTTCCCATTCTTTGTGTCGTGCTGGATGTTCCATAGAGGTCCTGTCCTTCCTTTCCCTTATGAAAAACAGGATGATTAGTAGAAAGCTTGCAGGGCCTGGAGTCAGGTGAGATAGACTCAAATCCTGACTCCAATGCTCATCAACCTCCTTGAGCTTCAGTCTCCTCATCTGCAAAATAAGAGTAAAAATGTCATAAGGACCAAAGATGATAATATATGGAGAGGGGAGAGGGATTTGAACCCAGGTCCTCATGACTCTAAATTCATTACTCTTTCCACTACACTGTACTGCTTTTGGGGGCTACACAGTTGATGTAGTCACAGATGAGGAGTTATGGATTTGTTAAAACAAGGTGTTAATATTCAATAATCTCTTTACAAGTATGAGTACTTCTTTCTGATTGAATCAGAAGATGCAACAGATTGGCTGGGCTGAAAATTGGCCATGACTCTGGAGGCTTTAAATAGCTAAGTTCTGGACACAGTGAACAGTTCAAAAGTCCTGGCAGGAGCCAGTAGTCAAGGAAGAACCCAACTCTTCATCAGGGGTGGGGGATGAGAAGGAAAAGAGAGGAAGGGGAAGAACAAGATTTTCTCTCTTCTCTTCCCTCCAGCAACCAAGGTGTCTAGCTGTGAAGCTCCTTACCCAGAGGGAGATACGTATCCCTTCCAGTTAGTTGAAAAGCCACTTTCAGAGAGTTTAAGGCACAATTGAGGGGGCAGAGAAAACACTCAAGATAAGCAAGGATTGAGAGATGCAGTTATTTAAGGAGGAAAACAACTTCAAGGAGCATGACCTCTGACAGCAGAGAAGAGAATCAACTGTGGATTTATGAGAGTCATTGTGCTCTATAAAGAGTAGAATCCTGGGAACCTAGTAGAGATGCTGTGCCCACGGAGGAGCTTTGGGAGGACTCCGCAGGGAAGAAAGGACTTCAAGGCCTAACAATGTGGGAGGAGTGACCAGCCTTGAACATGCTCATGTGTTTACCTCATTACTACTGAACCCTAAGTTTGTACCCACTCTTCCCACAGACTCAGTGTATATTTATCAAAGAGAATGACCCAGGCTTATGGGAGGAATGGTTTGTTGCTACTGTTCTTACTATGCTATCTTAATAAGTGCCTTTGCATTATGTGTCTACTGGCTAACTGTCAAGGGAAAGCACACCAATGGGGGCTCATGAGCTATAATTTTGAAGCCCAGACCCACAAAGTACCCCAGAATCCAAAGTAAAAGCAACCTCCGGGACCCAATCTCACCGTTTTGAGTGCAAAGTAAGGGAGCATCTCGGAAGAGGAATTACACATGTAAAGCACTTTGAAAACCTTAAATCACTATATAAATATCAGCTATAAATATTATCATTATGGAGTTGCACTTCTCCCTCCAAAAAATAGAAGAGAAAAAGTCATAATCTTTCCTTATCTTTCAGCACTAAAACTAAAAACCCAAATTCTAGATTTCTCTCACTTAGAGACTTTTGTATTATCACTACAGACACACAACACTTTATCAACAAGGCTATACATAAATAGGAGATTAAAAGAGAATTTTGAGAGATTATAGAGTTTATCTTCTTGCCTCTGGGCAGGCTCACACTCCACCAATCCCTTATCCCTTCCTTTAGAATTCATTTGAAGAGGTAGTCACATCTAGGTGCAGGGTGGCATAGAGAAGTATAAATTAGCCCCTGCCCTCAAGGGGCTGATGTTCTCTGTTGAGCAGTCAGGACAAGCTCACATGGAACAGTTAAAAAAAATCCCTGGAGAAGCAAACTATACAACCTGCCTTAGTAACACACATTTTGCTCTATGCTCTCTGTTCTCATAGATAGGTCAGAATTACCAGAAATCAGTTTCATATGTCTGGGCTATTCAAAAGAATGACTCCCTTCCTCTCCTCCTTCCCTGCCTGGAGCAAACGCTCCAGTGATCAGAAAAGAGGGGTGGAGGAGCCTGGGACAGACTCTGTGGAGCCTAGCAAGGAGTTAACTCCCCATGCCCCATTTCATCTGGTAGGAGGGAGAAAGCTGAGGTGGAAACCCCCCAGCATTTGCGAGGGTGTTTGGGAGCTCCTGCTGGAGGATGTGGTTGGTGGCAGGGCCGGGAACCAGCTCCCTAGGCACACAGAGACAAAAGAGGCGAAGGTCAGGACCACAAAAGCCCATTCTTTCCTGCTGAGCTCTTTGAAGGGGGATGGGTAGTTAGGAGCAAAATCAGGAGATGACGGAGGTAGGGGGGAGCTCCAAACCTTAGGATTAGAGGAGGTTGTCTGAGGGCACTGGTCAGCCATCTCAGAGTCTCTAGCTCTCTCTTCCTAGATCACCAAGGAGGGAACCAGCACCACAGACCCAAGGAGTGCCTTTGTCCCTAGTCGGGTAGGGGCACGGCAGGGAAACACCTCTTGGAAATGAGGATAACTCGCCTGGGCACTTTGATTCTGGGGGAAAAGAGAGCCTGAGTGAGGACTGAGGTTCCAGGAGACCTTGCAATGAGTTCAACTCTGCCTCTCCACGTCAGAAGGGATCCGTACTACTCCAGAGCACTCCTCTCTCTGCTCCCCGTCTTCTTCCCTCCACATTTCCTTGTGTCTCCCAAGGAAATCCTTGAGATCAGCCTCGCAGCCTCAAATCATTCCAGTCTGGCCATTGTCATGATTGGAGATTTGGGAGGACTCATCCCCATCTCATCTTTTTCCAGCCTGAGCCCTGCCCGTGGGTACATGCCTGAATATAAACTGAGTTAACACCCAACCACCCCAATCCATCTTGGACCCTGTGCTGGAACCAGGCAAAGCTCTAGGAGTCTATGAGGGACTGAGAATGCTCCCCCACTCCCTGTCATCTCTAGCTTAAAAAATGCCTGGGCCACCCAAGTGCCCCTGGTGCCTCACTTTCTCTCTGGATTACTACAGTTCTCTCCCACTTGGTTTCTTTGCCTCCCATCTTTACCCCACAAATACATTGTATAAATGACTGCCAACAGGGAGTCATTTATCCCATTCAACACCTTTTTTGTGCCTCTCCTAATTGTTAGTGTTCTCAGGCTCCCACATTTTCCTAGTGCACTTTGATCCTTCCCTTGCCCCTATCGCTCCCTAGCTTGGACTGTACTAATTTGGGACCATGGTGTACCCCTCCCCGCCAGTAGAATATAAGCTTAAGAACTTGAGGACTAGGGGCAGCTAGGAGATGCAGTGGATAGAGCATCAGCCCTGGAGTCAGGAGGACCTGAGTTCAAATCTGGCCTCAGACCAAACACTTGACACTTACTAGCTGTGTGACCCTGGGCAAGTCACTTAACCCCAACTGCCTAAAAATAATAATAATAATAAAAAGAACTCGAGGACTGGTCCTGTTTCATTTTCTCTTTGCCTTTCCAGGGTCTAGCGTAGTATCCAGTACATCATAGGCATGTAATAATTGTTTGTTAGACTGAACTGGGTGGCTCTATATTGTCTTTCAAATCAAGTCAAAACTCAGAACGACAGACTCATTGGACCATAGATTTAAAGCTGGAATCCCAGAATCTTTGGGCTATAAGTGGTCTCTGAGGTCACCAGCTCTAGCCTCTGGACAATTCTTACCGCTGTTTGGTTGCGTCCCACTCCTCATGACCCCATTCAGAGCATTCTTGGCAGAGACACTGGAGTGGTTTGCCATTTCCTTCTCCAGCTCATTGTACAGATGAGGAAACTGAGGCAACCAGAGTTAAGTAGATTGCTCAGGGTCACGTAGCTAGCGTCTGAAGCCTGATTTGAACTGAGGAAGAAGAGGTTCCCTGACTCCAGACCCAGCACTCTATCCACTGTGCTACCTAACTGTCAAATCCAGCCTCAGAAGCTTACTAGCTGTGTGACCCCGGACAAGTCACTTCACCCTGTTTGCCTCCATTTCTTCATCTGTAAAATGAGCTGGAGAAGGAAATGGCAAACCACTCCATTATCCTTGCCAAGAAAACCCCAAATGGGGTCACAAAGAGTCAGACGCAACTGAAAACAACCGATCAACAACAGTTCCGCCTCTTTAATCCTTATAACTGAACCCTATTCTACCTACCCAACTACATCCCTGTTCCCTTTCCATATGGTAATGTTCTCGTTCTCATCTTGAGTTTGTTTACACCATTCCCTCTGCCCTGGATGCCCTCCAATTCCCTCTTCCCCACCTAAGCCCTACCCAAGGCCCCACTCTAAACCCACTTCTTTCATTAAATTCTTCCTGCTAAATTCAGCCTACTCTCATCTCTGAAATACTATATAAAGCACTTGTAGTTTGTAATACACATTTTAGTATTTGTCTTATGTAATATCATTTTATGTCTCCTCTAAGTCTGCATAAGTCTGCTCAGCCTCTAGACTTCTTGAGGGCAGGGACCCATTTGATATGTCTTCTGTGTCCCCTAAAGTGTCTAATAGAGTACTGAGTACATGGTAGATGCTCAGTAAATACTTGTCGATTACTAGATTCTCCTCCATCGAAGGGAGATCCAGGCATCCTGCCTTCCTACTCCCACCCAACAGACCTCAAATCCTGCAATGGAACAATGTCAGCAATGGCAGCCCCTGCATAGGTTGTCATGAGAGCAGAGTATCTTGGCTGGCATGGAGGGTGGGGCAGTCAGAGCCTTCTTTTATCCTCATCAAAGGCCTGGTCACCCATGACACTGAATTCTCTTCTGATTTTTGTTTCAGAATAAGAAGTACATATTGATGATGGTTGATCCAGATGCCCCCAGCAGGAATTATCCAAAAAATCGCTACTGGAGACACTGGCTGATAGCGAATATCAGTGTGAGTAGATTTATCAATACCTTCTTATCCATGAAGGGTGATAGCTGGGAGCTTGAGCTTATTGGTGTTTTCATGTTCCCTTTTGGGAGAGGAACCTGGGATAAGCAGAGAGCCCCTGGCATCACCCGCCAGCCACCTGTCCTCCACAACCCCCTTCATTTCCTAATTGGGTTTCTAAATCAGAGTATGTCCTTCAGAGCCTGATTGATGTCTGGGGGCAGAGAAGGAGAGCTGGAGCACTACAGAGCCAAATGCTAGGATTTCAGGGCTCTAGAACATTCCGATTGGTCCCATTGGTAGAACCTGAGACAGCTCTAACCAGAATGGTTCTCATAGGCAGCTGTTCCATCCTTGTGCTCCCGATGTGGCCTGAAGAGGCTGAGGAGCCATGGAGGGGTAAGCGTGTCTATTTTGTGGTTTGTTTGTTGTTGTTTTTATTTTAGGCTCAGCTCATGGCCCCTTTCTTCCATTAGTTGTGAATGCTTTCATTGTGAAAGGGTGTAGCGTAACATAGCTCCACAGTGGTGTCCGAAGGTGCCAGAGAGCCCTCCAGAGGGACTGGGAAAGTTAAAACGGCGTGCCAAGGCTCTGACCCCACTACTTCTGATGTGCTGGGAGTGTGGGGTGGGATATTCACTAGTCAATGAACTTCTGGACAGGGAATGGGGTTTATATAGTCAACAGCCCCTGAAAGAGGCAAGAAGTAGGGTGGGGAGGATGGCAACACACCGACGAGTGAAGATCAGCTCCCAGCACATGTCTGGCATATATAGGTTGCCAGCTGCCAAAGAGCAATTTTGGCCCCTGCTGTTGATGGTTGTTGGCCAGAGAGAGGTGCTGGGAGGCCTCCCTTACTCCATATCTCCTGACTCCCTTCCCTAAAAGGAAGGGCTGAGCAATGTTGGAACCCTTGCCCACCCCTTATCAAAAGCCTCTCATCCAAAGGAGGCGTCATGGAGCAGAGGCATAGAGCAGCTCTGCCGAGGGGTCACTAGGAGGGAAGGTGAGAGGAGAAAAGGGAGAAGGTGATGGAGCTACCCTCTTTCTAGGGGACTGCTGACTTTCAGTCAGGAAGATGTGCTAGGTGGCATGCTTAAGGGAAGGGGCATACAACAGAAGGGAAGGAATGTGTCTCCATAAGGCTCTGGGATCATGGAAAATACTCTTTCGCTCTAACCCCAGACCAAAGACTGTCTTCTAAGAGGTTCCTAGAATCTTAGAACAAGAGAATGTTGGAGCTGGAAGGAACCTGAAAAATCATCGAGGCAACATCTTTATTTCTCAGCTGCGGAAACTGAGGCCCAAGGGAATATGGCCAATTGGGACTAGAATCCAGGTCTTCTGACTCGGGCTAGTTCTCTTTCCACTGAACCCCAGTTCTGACTTTGTACTACAGAAGCAACATTAGCTAGCAGGCTCTAAGAATGGAACAGGCCTTCGGGTGAACAAGGTGGCCTCTCTGTTTCCTGCGAAGTTCTTACAATAGGGTTATTTTCTCATATGACATCTTTGGAGTGGAAGGGCCAGCCAAGATCAGCCGCCCAACTTAGAAATGGAGTAGGTGGCAGTTGTCCGGCAGACAACTGCCAGGACGAGCCTCACAGCTCTCTCCACCATGGCTAAGGGTGTTGAATTTCAGGCCGGTTTTCACCGGCTGTCCCTGGTCTGAGTGCCAAACAGGAAATGGTGGCTTTCTTCAGCTATTTCCCCTAGGTCCTGCCCCTCCCCATAGGCCCTGAATTCCAGAGGGCCACACAGAAAGTATACATCACATCCTGTGGGATATAGGGTGCTGGATCCCACCCAAGGAGACCCAGAGGGAGGAAGGGCCTTCAGTATAATCTAGGGGTACTTTTTTCATGCCTACTCTGGCACCATGCAGTGGGACAATATTTTTCCAAGAGCCAGCTTCAGACAAAATTTTATCAGTCTATAGAACTTTTTTTTTTTTTAATCAAAGGGCCTTGCTTCTAGATCATAGAAACTTCGAATCATAGGATTTCATAATTGGAAGGGACCTAAAAGTTCATTTGTTTCAATCCACACTCGAAGAAGTATCCCCTCTACAACTCTCCTGACAAATAGTTATCCAATTTCTACTCAAAAATATCCAGTGATGGGGAGCTCACTACCTTTCAAGGTATCATATCCCTGAACAATTCCAGTTACCATTGAACTGAAATATGCCTGTATAATTTCAACCCCTTGTAACTAGTTCTGCTCTGTAGGGTCAAGCAAAAGCAATTAATCACTTGACATCAGGCTCTACCTTCTCAGATCCTTCAATGTATAGTGTGGTTATGAGTGACCCTCTTGTGTGTGCGTCCTTCCTAAAATGTGATAGCCAGAACTGAACACAGTACTTTTTTTTTTTTTGCAAGGCAATTGGGGTTAAGTGACTTGCCCAGGATCATGCAGCTAGTGAGTATCACGCGTCTGAGGCTGGATTTAAACTCAGGTCCTCCTGACTCCAGGGCCAGTGCTCTATTCACTGCACCACCTAGCTGCCTCTGAACACAGTACTCTTGAAGTGGTCTGAATAGATGCTTCATCTGGAGGATGGCAATGGCCTCGGGTTCTTGTGGCTCTGCCAATGTAATACAAGCCCTAGGAGCGCTTACCAAATTGGAAAGGTTTCAAATACAGACCTGGGAATAGATTGTATGACCACAAACAGCCTCCTTTTTTCCCTGTAAAGTATGAAGGCCAACACCATCCTCCTGCCCCTCAGGGTCGCAACCCAGGAGTCACCCTGGATTCTTATCCAAGCTGTTGCCAAGGTCCAATGATTTTACCTTTGTGAAATATCTTGAATACGTTCTTTCTGTCCTCTGACCCTGTTACCACCCTAGTGCAGGTCATCATCACCTCATGCCTGGATTATTGCAATATCCTGGTGGTGGGTCAGCCTGCCTCAAATCTCTCTCTACTCTAAACCATTCTCCGTTCAGCCGCTAAAGTGATTTTCCTAAAACAGGTCCAATCATGTCATCACCTTACTCAGTAAACTCCACTGGCTTCTTATTATTTCCTCCAGGAGCAAATACAAAATGGCCTTCAGAGCCCTTCATAACCTAGCCCTGTCCTACCTTTCCAGTCCTCTTATGACCTTGCTCTCGTAGATGTACTCTTCCATCCAGCAGCACTGGTCTCCTGGCTGTTTTGTGAACCAGACACTCCATTTCTTGGCTCTGGGTGTTTTCTCTGGCTGTCCTCATGCCTAGAATGCTTTCCCTCCTCCGCTCTGACTGCTGACCCACCCTGGTTTCCTTTAAGTCCCAACTAAAATCCTACCTTCTACAGGAAGCCTTCCTTAGCTCCTTTTAATGCCAGCTCTTTTAATTACTACATAGTTATCCTGCATATGGCTTGCTTTGTATATATTTGTTTGCATGCTGTCTGGATTGTAAGCTCCTTGATGGCAGGAACTCTTTTTGTATGCCCAGAGCTTATCACAGTGTCTGGCACATAACAGGGTCTTAATAAACGTTTATTGAATTGATCTGAACAGTTTGGATTAGGAAAACACTGATATAGAAGATGGAAGGAAGGGAGAGCTAAGAGTCAGAGCAATTGGATTCTATTCCCAGCTCTTCTATCAACGCACAACGAGGCCCAGAGAAAGTCACCATGCTTCACTTTCCCCTTCTGTAAAATGAGAAAAGTAACCTGCGTTCCTTTTCCCATTTGGAGTGAATGGAAATAGTAGATTTTGAAACTCCAGCTATAATGATGTTCAACCTTTCACATACTGGTGTGGTCAGAGAATGATGGTAAAAACATCGATGGGGCAGCTAGGTGGTGCAGTAGATAGAGCTCCGGCCTTGGAGTCAAGAGGACCTGAGTTCAAATCCGGCCTCAGACACTTGACTCTTACTATCTGTGTGACCCTGGGCAAGTCACTTAACCCTGATTGGCTCATCAAAAAATAAATAAATAAAACATTGAGCTTCTTGGAAACAAACCCTACATGAATTCAATGTACTCTCAGTACCCCTTTCCTCCCCCCTCCCCATCCCACCTTTTCTGGAGAGTACCCATTTAGGAGAGATTTTTAGCAGAACATTAAATGGTTTCTTTCTCCCACCATTACTATGTTCTCAGCTTTTACTTAAAAAGGATGTGTTTTTCAGGTCTGATTCATCTAATAATCTTTAGCTTGAAAGTCTAATTAAGTTATCAATAAATTTGTATCATTCATTTCAGAAGAAATGCATATAGGCTCCTCTTTTATTGGTCTTTGAAATTAGTGCTTGGAGCTTTTCATGCAAGTATTTTCATTAGAGTATTGTTAATGGGAATATTGAATATGTGAAAATGGGATATTAATACTTTCCACAAAGAAAATCATGAGTGATGACAAAGAGAGCTTAGAACAAATAAAGACATCTCCATCCACCTGCCCTCCCCACCCCCTCCCCACCCAAGAAGATCTTCCTAGAAACTCTCAGGGATTCTAAATTTTGGCCTGGAAATCTTTTGCTTGAAAAGGAAAATGAAAATTCGTTCCTTGCTCTGCTGCATTTCTCACCTCCCCTCGCTGTTCATGTTTCCATCTATCCCTTGGATGCAGTCAATGTAGCCAGCACCCCCAGTGTGTTGTGATAATTAGATAAATGGAAACTACAAACAACCGGGCAAGGTCACTTTGCAACACCAGCTTTTTGGCAGTGGGGTCAGCCACACAGAAGCCTAAGGCAAAGCTGGGAGGTGTGAATCTGAGTCATTGGCTCTGCTGCTGGGTCTGAACTTAGGCAGAGGCAAACCATTTCTCTAAGCCTCAGTTTCCACCCAATTCCCCATAAAATGAGGAGATGGGACTGGGTTAAGGTTCCTTCTAGCTTTCATGAACTCCATTGGCCACCCTGTACCTCAGTTTCCTTCTCTGTAAAACAGAAACCTCTGAGAATTGGTATCAAGATCATCTGTGTAAAAAAATCAGGAGCCCTATGGTAATCTGTAGATTTATTCTGATTCCTAGTCTGTCAATTTTCATTGAA